TATTTGATGACAAAAATATATGTTACACCTCAGGTGAAACCAGAAACAAATCAACATCAAAGTCATTAACAGAGTGATTCAAGAGGGTTTGTCACCAAACAAATTTAGCATCATTATCAAGATTTATAGTAATTTGCAACCTCAACAGTAGCAAAGCTTTATACAAGCACTGGGAGAATAATTTGAAACTGGAAAGAAATCTAAACATCAACACAATTTAAATCTATGGAAACTTTATACAAAGTTCTAAGCCTCTAATATATTATTTAGAAACTCAATATTATGAGAACCGTACTTCTTCAAAACTCCATACAGCCATTAACTAATGTAATCAGAACTTTTGAAGCATCAAGGAGGACTACATATGGGAACATTGTACAGGAATGCTCAATGACCTTGTACAGAAATGACCTTGCACCATTACCAGTCTCTAAATTGAGGTGGCATTCATTTTTATAAGGAATTTGAGAGTGCCTTATCACACCCACACACATAATTGTTCCCATGACCTTGTGTGGCCATTCCAAGGCACAGCAGTGTTTATAAAAACTTCAGCTTTCTCAGGGAAAATCAGGAATGAAAAACACATTTAGAGGATCCAGATCTTGCTGTCTTCAGACATTCAAAACAACTTCCATGTAGAAAATGTGGGCATTACTATATCAATAACGTTAAAATATTTTAAGCCAACAATATTTCGAATCTGCCTGAATAAGGAACTGCTCTATGACATGTACTTGACCTTGTAAATCTACTCCATTCTTAGGCTTAATGGCAAAGAAATCAAAACATGTTATGTTCAGACTCCAAGCATTTGAGAAAGGGCTTTTGAAGTTTGTGAAGGAAAGCTATGGTTGGGATGGTGAAGTAAGGGGCCTCTAATAGCCACCCTACATTGTTTACTGTGTATATAGAGATTGAGTTTCACTTGCTATGTCTGCACCTCACTACTACACAATTTACAAGTATTTTCACAGCACAGAAATAATGATGGTGAGACCTCTTGACTCCAGTCTTACAGATTGTATTTCTGTAATTGTCACATCTGCCTTAGATCTACATTAGCAGAAGGCCAGCACCATTAGAATCTCAAGTATGTTCCTAATGGTAAGACGTATCACAAATCCAGCAGCGACTCTAATTATCAGTGATTTTATGTCATCATCCAACCTTTTTTTTAGGTTCAGTATTTTTGAAATTTAGATTCCATATCTATGAAAAAAAAAAAAAATTTGTTGTTGAATGCAAATATGACCAAATGTATGTTCTGAGAAATAATGCAAATGCAAAATCTACATTGGGCTGCCAGAAATGTCTCTTGTATCTTTAATCTGTAACTCTATACAATCCAGAAATTATATCATCATGTACAGGGCACTGACTGGTTCAGGTTCTCACCACCAGAGGGCTTTACACATCCTTATGAAGAGTTCGGGGTCAATGTAACGAGCCTATCAGATCAGTCAGAGTTATTCATTGTACAAACATATTGTAATATGGGGTGATCTTGATTTGACCATGACAAATCTTACCTTATAGCTACATTTATGAAATGCCATCATATACTGAAGATCTGAATGCATAATGTTTTCTAGTACATGTTCAAAGAACATTTTGGCCGAAGACCTTACCAGTAACAAGGTTTTTATTGACTGATTGCATCATGATCCCTGTGACCTTGAAAATATGACCTTCACCACATATTTTTTTTAACAAAATAGTTTCCTATTTCTTACCATTGATAGACAACTTGCTATCTATACAATATATCACACAATGGTAGAGAGGATCAAGACCCTTTTCTTTTTTCTTTGGAACATATTTATTTTCAAATAAAAAACAATGTCTTCCAACATATATCTACATCCAGCGGCTGGGCTGGTCACCACGCTCTGCTGACTGTGTATTTGTAGGGATGGGATTATCTACAGAACATAGGAGAACAGGTGATATTATTGCTTCACACTGATGGCAAGGAGCTATCGGGGAGATTCCTCAATGAATACTCTAACAAAAGATAACGTCACTCGTACATAAATAGAGCTGGCTGATGCCTTCTAACAGCTACCTTCACTCCAAAACACCAGGTTTCTGGAAAAAACGTTTTTATCAGGCAACTGAATTTTTACTGCTTAACAAATATACGTGTTGCCGATTCCAGAAAAATTTCTAGTATCATTCAGCTTCCTCAATAAATCACAGAACATGAATCCAATCATAGCACCGATAGCAGTTTCTGTAACTTTTGGAATAAGAGCATTCAAACAAACAATCTTTGGAGTCTAGACATGTTCAACCTTTGGGAGTCTGGACATGTTCAACCTTTGGGAGTCTGGACATGTTCAACCCTTGGGAGTCTGGACATGCTTAACCCTTGGGAGTCTGGACATGTTCAACCTTTGGGAGTCTGGACATGTTCAACCTTTGGGAGTCTGCACATGTTTAACCCTTGTGAGTCTAGACATGTTCAATAGAACATATTTTGAGACTCTAGATCTGTGGACATGTTAATCAGAAACATGCCTTTAAGATATGTGCTCATGTTCCAACAGAAACAGAAATGGGTGGTCAGGAAAATGCACTAGCCTTTCAACAAGGAGTTTGATTCCTCAATTCCTTGATTCTGCAATTAGATGTGAAAAGGTTTGGGGTCACCTGCCCAACTATGTGGGTTTTCTCTGGGTACTTCGGTTTCCTCACACATTAAGACCCTCGTGCACTAACATCCGGGCCAACAAAAGTGATTAATATAAGTTTAAATAACTTGTTGCATAGTTGTTATAAATAAAGTTAATATTTATAACAGTAACAGCCATGTTTATAACCAACATTAAGATCTCTTTGGATCCAGAGGGAGAATTCAACAGAATTATCTCTTTGGAGGCTGTGTTTATTCTCAACAGAACTATCTCTAGAGAGTTGGTGGACAGGTCCAACATCATTATCTCTAGGGTGGCTTTTAATCTCTTAACAGTACCTTTTTTGGGGGGAATTACAGCATTCTACAGCACTGTATCTAGGGAGGCTATTGGTATGGTTTAGAATCTTCAGGTACTATCAGCAAGAACAGCTAGAAATGTACGCCACATGCATACTAATTAATGCCCCCTTCTAGACAGTTTCACTGTAATGGGTCACATAGTTTTGGAAAATTTGTCTGGATAAGGTAGAAGTAAAATAAAGGGCAATAACTCTGGAAAAAGTTATCAAAATATTAATGTTAGGTGCATAACTACATGATGTAGTTTTATTGGAATTGGCTTGTTAGTTTAGAAGTGATATATTGACAAATTATCCATGGACTAATGGCCTATGGGAAGACAGATGGACAAACAGACTTACAAGCNCCCCCCCCCCCCCCCCCCTGAACTTTATTGATACGGTGTTTGTATATAAAATAGAGAGCTGTTAGAATGACATATATTTGCTTTGTTAGAATGACATATGTTTGCTTTGTTAGAATGACATATATTTGCTTTGTTAGAATGACATATATTTGCTTTGTTAGGATGACATATATTTGCTTTGTGTTTGTCCTCTACCTTCCTTTATCCGAATACATCCCTTATGCTATGAAACTTTTAGTTTAGCCCGATAATGCACAGTTGTACAGACCTGTAACACTGCGTCTACATTATAAAGTCCGTAACTGATGCTAGACTTTCCTGGATGCCTTTATTAATATCTAACACATCCCTGGAGAGGGAGAATGGATTTACTAGACTCATGTCATCGTTTTATGGCCTTGGTTATGGCCGCCATGTTGGTATTGTTATTGTCATGCTCTCCTATCTTATCCTGAGTCTGCTATAAGGATATAACCATCAGATTCATGATCCTAATGGCTCTTGACATTACTTACATGTACACGCAAAATAAAGGCAATGTTGTGCTGATAGTATTACATGTTCATTTGATTATGTCATATATCGCAATTTCAAGTTATGGCTTACTTGGTAAAAAAAGATACAATTCCTTTCCTCCCTGTATGTGCTACATAGAAATATTTGAGGTAAGAAAGCAGTCATGTTGGAGTGTCAGATTTCATGTGATTCCTGATTAAAACAATTACAGACATCATGATTTACAAAACGATGGATGCCAACAGGAAAATTGATATCTAGATGTTTTCATGATTAATAAGGTCAAATTTGAGATACACAGATTAATTTTCTTATGTATACCCATATCTGAAAGGGTTAGGGTTAGGACTGAGAGGGTAAAACCCTTGGGCCCAGCCATGGGTATTTCTTCCAATTTATAACTCATCGGGTTGTATTTTCCAGTCTTCACACGTAAAAGGCCTTCTCTTCAGAAACTTTGTTTCTTGAAAATCAGTCTTTAATTGGTACACTTAACTTGAAGCTTTTTGTTTTATTTGGCATAAATGAAACAACTGCAAATATGTACAAGACAGAAAATTGAAATGAAGGGATCGGAGCCCTTTAAAATAAAACAAGAAGATCTTGTGTGCGATTAATATTTATCAAAACTCAGTTATTAAAAGCATAATATATATATATATTTATCAGTTAAAACCACTGTATGTTATGAATTTAATCACTACCTTAAATATAGTTAAATACATCATAATACCATTAGTTGAAAACACTGTACATTACATATGTTGAACAATTATACATGTATATAATATATATGTGTGTACGATGTATAGTTAAGTAGTTATAAATACTGTGTATTTTAAGTTTATATATATATATATACTGCGTTTATATAACCTTGCAATGACTTAGAACGGTATTTTAAACCATTTAAGAGAAAGGAATAAATTATTCAGCGGAGGACGTAAATGGCCAGCTCGCTATAATCCACCATCTAAATGCTGACTCTGGCTCAACAAGAGAATCGTGTCGGTATTAATGGAGACAAGGCACTGTTATTAAAACACAGGCAATCCTTCCCTTTACCAGATGATCATTTAAAACCCATAGCATCTTTAATAGATGAGTAGGTCTCCATTCCCAGTATTGATTTGGAAGCAGGAGGTGTTGGAAAGACGGGTCGGAGCTTCCACATGCTCACATTTTCTCAAGGAGCAATTCCAGGACTCCTTTCAAGAATTTGGTAACAAAAAACAATTTTTCAGAAATTTATATTAATTGCAATTGATGAAAATTACTTACTAAATTCACTCAACATGATATATTTGTAAAACACTGTATTGAAAGATGTTCGAGACCAGTTCTCATTTTTTTCAACATATTCTTGAAGTGATGGAGCATTGTTTGGTCGGTCGAGGGTGCCCTGGTGTGAGGCCAGAGCAAGAAGAAGACAAGCTGATGTGTAATACCTATTATTGGGCTGAATCAGAGAACTTACACCACTACAGGTGAGTAGCCTGCTGCCTGGGGATTTAATTAAAGGTTAGAATGCCAGTACCTCAGGCCCTAGAAACACCAGCAATTCTGAGACAAAGCCGTGTAGTCAATACGGGAACAAACACCACAGAGTGGAGCGATGCCAAGCAATTTTAACATAGCAATACAAATTTCAGACAAAAACTACTGCTTTATCAGATGTTGTAATATGTTTGATGTTCTTACAAAATTCAGCAAAGATTCTAGCGACTGTGAGGTACAGAGAAGGGAATAGTAACATCTTTGTGAGGTAGAGTGATTAATGGAATCTATCACTCCTGAGTGATGGAGACAGATTTTAAGCCATAGGAAAAAAATTCAAGTGTCAAAAATATTTTTCATTACCAAAAGGACATATATGATTATTTTTTTCTGACACCTTCCCAACATTAAAAATGTATACTAATATGTGTATAAAGTAATATGAGCCATCATTAATGGCGCGTGAAAAGTGTGACAACAATGATAATGCCATCCTGTTGTGATGCTGTTCACTGCATAATGATGTTTGATGACGCCAATCTATAGGTAAGAATAAAGGTGTGTGTGATCTGTCTTTACTATATATCAATACCTTGTCCATCCCATGTACATGGAAGAAATATGCATCATTGTAAGGTAAAATGATAATAACGTACACCTCTGGTGTTGAGAGAGGTAATTATATATATATAATTATTACATTTCTGTGAGGTACAGAGAATCCCTCTGAAGTTTAGAGATCATTACATCTCTGTAAAGTACAGAGGTTATTTTATCTCTTGGAGATAATTTCTGCAAAGTTTAGAGATTTTTACATTTTTGATATTTAGAGATTATTACCTAGTACATTTTTGTGATGTAGAGATTATCATATCACTATGAGATAATCTCTGAAGTTAAGAGATTTTTACGTCTCTGTGAGGTAGATTGATTATTATATCTCTGTGAAGATTAGAGACTACTACATTACTGTGAGGTATAGAGATTACTACCGGTATATCACTCTGAGGTACAGAGATTATTATATCACTGTGAGATACAGAGATTATTATATCACTCTGAGGTACAGAGATTATAATATCACTCTGAGGTACAGAGATAATATATTTGAGGATTAGAGATTACTACATTACTGTGAGGTGAAAAGATTATTATATCACTCTGCGGTACTGAGATTATTATATCTCTGAGATACAGAGATAATTTCTGTGAAGATAATTAGAGACTACTATATAACTGTGAGGTACAGAGATTATTATATCTCTGTGAGGTACAGAGATTAGTATATCTCTGTGAGGTACAGAGATTATTATATCACTCTGAGGTACAGAGATTTTTTTTATATCTCTGTGAGGTACAGAGATAATCTCTATGAGGATTAGAGATTACTACATTACTGTGAGGTACAGAGATTATTATATCTCTGTGAGGTACAGAGATTATTTTATCACTCTGAGGTACAAAGATTTTGTATATCTCTATGAAGTACAGAGATAATGTATTTGAGGATTAAAGATTACTACATTACTGAAGGGTACAAAGATTATTATATCACTCTGAGGTACAGAGATTATTATATCTCTGAGGTACAGAGATAATGTATTTGAGGATTAGAGACTACTACATTACTGTGAGGTACAGAGATTATTATATCTCTGTGAGATACAGAGATTATTATATCTCTGAGGTACAAAGATTATTATATCGCTCTGAGGTACAGAGATTTTTTTATATCTCTGTGAGATACAGAGATTATTATATCTCTGTGAGGTACAGAGATTATTATATCACTGAGGTACAGAGATTATTTTATCACTCTGAGGTACAGAGATTTTTTATATCTCTATGAGGTACGGAGATAATCTCTATGAGGATTAGAGATTATTACCTTACTGTGACGTACAGAGATAATTTATTTGAGGATTAGAGATTACTACATTACTGTGAGGTACAAAGATTATTATATCACTCTGAGGTACCGAGATTATTATATCTCTGTGAGGTACCGAGATTATTATATCTCTGTGAGGTACAGAGATTATTATATCACTCTGAGGTACCGAGATTATTTTATCACTCCTAGGTACAGAGATAATCTATTTGAGGATTAGAGATTATTGCATTGCTTTGACACAAATATATTTTACATAACAGCCACAGAAGTAATTCCACCTCTACTTCTGAAGGATATTGTCATTTCCAACTCAACAAACCCAGCAATGCCTACAACCTTATGACTGGGTTACATAACCTGATTTTGTTCAGAAGTAATGTACCATAGGTGACTCACAGCAACTTAACTCATTCACCCCTGAAGACACATTTGAACTCTTCCAATTCAAAGGTTGGAATAGTTCATTATGAAATTTCAGGGGTGAATGAGTTAAGGAGTATCATTGCTGGTTACAGAGTCATAATTAGTCATAATTAGTAATTTCCAAGTAAATTGTGTGATAAAATGATTCCAGATTAATGTAGACAGTCATCTGAATTACAGCTTTCATCAATAATGTAATGTATTCTCCGAAATCACATGCCAAAATGAGTTGACTACAATCAGGGTAAAACAATTTAATTCAAAACAGACAATTCTCTATACTTGATTACATAACCCAGTGAATCTTGTTATAGTGATACAGCCAGTTTTTCCAGGTCATGCAGTACAAGGTTCTGTATTTGAAATTGTGACAAACCCGGTTGTTGTAGAGTAGGGTAACAACACTCAAGTAATGGGTGACAGTGCAAAGTATTTACAAAGTGTGTATTATCTGCCAACTTTGTTCACTTAGACACAAATTTTGTCTTTAATTTAGACATGCAGAATAATCTCGATTGCAGGAAAAGACATTATTAATACATATTTTTTAAATTGAAATGTGTTTGCTTTTTATGATAATCAATATAGAAAATAAAATGTATTTGAGGACGAGTCTCTATAGGGTCACCACCTGTAATATCATTCACCCTCAGCTTCACCCTTCATACCACTTTCTCCCTCCTATTCACTCTTTGTTACATCACTGTCATCATTGGTTTTTACTCTGATAATATCACTTTCACATCCTATTTCACCCCTCATAATTTTGTTATTACCCTTTGCTTCAACCCTAATATCGTCACTTTCGTCCTCCATTTTACCCTCAGTAATATCACTGTCGTAATTCTGCTTCATCCCTCATTATATCACTTTTATACTTGGCTTCCCGTTCTAATATTGCCGTCACCCTCAGCTTCCCCTGCCTAGTTGTATAATATGATGAACCTTGGTCAACCTTTGGTCAATGTAATATGTAATTTACTATATAAGTAACGGGATTATTGGGGTACTTGTGATATCTATTGAACATTACATGTATGAGTACACTGCCACATGATAAAATTCAGACATGATGTGAAAGAAATTATCAGTTAAAACAATGTTTGTTTCTTAATAAGGCTATATATCTACTTCCTTCAGGATAAAATCTTATCCTTGACATGTGACAAGATTTCAAATTAGGTCAGGCTACTTAGGATGATTTTACAGTTTGTCATCAGAAACTTATCCTTATTCTGTCATTTTTCAGATGAATGTACATTTATAGAAATCAGGTCCTCAATATTTCCGGGAAGGAGATAAATTGTTTACATTTTTACCCATCTGAAGGACAGGAAGTATTCCAAGTACATTGCACCAGGATAGAGTTGTTCAAAACCGAACTAGCCAATAACAAAACATCATTGTTCACTTAGGAATATTTTTCTAAGAAGAGTTGAAATTAAAACAAAAATTACAGCATTTAGGGAACAATAATATTCACTCCAAAATGAAACACATGAAATACCTAACACATTTGAAACAATGAATATTTTTGAAAGTTGGAGTCAACAACCCAATGAGCTAGCAATTTTTTTGAACAAATTGATCCTGCATTAAAGGGGCTGGTCGGGGAAAAAATGTCATATTTGCTAAAATGGCATACACATGTTTAAAATACCTTCTTATGAAATATACCGATTCAAATTTTGCTGAAATTCACTCCCTAAGAATAAAAATTATAATTATATTAAAGAAATCCTAAATCGTCACCTGACAGTCTAAAACTCTCAATTGACCCAGATCAGTGATGTAATTTTACCGCATGCGCGTCATCAACAAGGCCAAATGTAAACATTGCGGCGAAAGAAAAAGATGCATGCAAAAGTCATGACAGGCACGAGGTATCAATACCGTTATATATAACAACAACATATAGGTAGGAATACTACACATGCATCATACATGACCTTTGAAAACAATTATTTACGTATAGTATTGCTGTCTTGTCCGCTAGTTGAGTCCGACATGGCTGATAGACGGCGTGCTATTGTTGTTATCTTCACTGCCTGACTTTTGAAACAACCACGTGACATATATAAATAGATCTGCGCTAAATTTACGCGGGGCTAGATTTCAGTGGTCAAAACTGGACATTGCAAGTAGAACTCGACCATCATATTGCCGTGGTATAACTTTTGGAAGGCCAGAGAGCGCATTTAGACCCATTTATTTTGTAATTTTTTCCCCGACCAGCCCCTTTAATGGGTTTGTACTTTAATTAAATAAATCATTTCAAATAATGTTTCTTCACAACATCTCAAAGTTTCCCCCGACAACAAATGCAACTTTTTAAAGACTGTATCCACATGCAACACTACCGGAAATTCCGGAATAACACAATTCATAGTCAGCTGGCATCAAGTTCAATCACCACAGCTTGCCTCAATATTTCTAAAGACCTTGTACTTTTAAGATTATTCTTAAAAGACTTTTGTTGCTTTTCCAATCAGCTCTCACGTCAGTTTAATAAATTTGTACAGGAAACCAAATTTTGTATCACCATGACATCACCAGTACATAAAAAATCTCCTGATTTAGTTTGGTCCATTAGGCCAAATGCATCTTTCCGTGTGGCTGGGATTTCCATAGCTACAACGTGAACTGAGCTGTAAGATAGTAAACAGCACAGCCAGATTGATTTCTATGATCTGTTTCTCAGTTCCTGTCAACGTTTGACAACATTAGGACACAAATGTCAAGAAAGCTTCCTTCCTGTGAAAATAACTGAATTTTATCCCAGTAAAGAGAAATTTGATAAATCAATTTATTTAGAATTCAAAATTTACGTCACAAAGAGTCAAACAGAGAGTGGATTACAAACACTTTGACACGCTCTCACGAAAGCATCAGGATGTTCATATACAATAGATTAAAGGCAAGTGTACAGTATTTTATTTCAAAAGTAACAACTGTCCGGTACATAATATCTAATCGCTATTCAATACTCCACAGTATAAAAAAAATACAATTAACTGATCAATGCTGGAGAGAAGATGACTACGGAGCTTTTTATAGTAACCATAAAACCATACACTGTTTACCAACAGGACAATTAAGGTAATGTGCCGGACATAAATGGAGGTTTTGTAAATCAATTGCCAGTACGCGTACGATTGTCCATGCAAGGAGTAAGTGGCCTACTCCTCAGGGTTAGCGTGTCGGATGAATCATACAGGCTCTGTTTACACTGACAAGTGCATGTGCTCATTGATTGACCTATACCCATTACAGTTACTACTCCAATTATTCTTAAGGAGGCCACATTTTATTTACAGAATCACCACTATAATCCTGGATGCAGGCATTAACGATTTGGAGTATTTTCCCATAAAGACTTGACCTGGGAGCCGAGAGGCTAGCTATACACTGCCTGGAGTAACGTCAATGAAATGGACAATTGGATGGGGAGAGTTACAAAGTACACGAGGACCGAGCACAATATAATCCATTGGAGAGCAATGAAATTCTACTTATCTTACACTGCCAATTAAATTATCACAAACCACTATGACTGTTGGTATTACTACAATGACTGTTGGTATTTATCTGTTCTCAGTTTTATATCATTGAATACATTAGCATAGCCTACTAAAAAGCATCAACGTAGCTTCCTCACCCATTTATACTTATAACAAATTAAATCATACATTACACATTGCAAACATTACTAAAGCTTTAGTCAGGAACACATGGTCACATTGATGAATTTTGAAAACAAAAACTACCAGTGAAATACAACATGATCAGGAATTTCCAATTTTATTCATCACCACAGATTTAACTTGTTGGTTGACTGACTTTTAAACAGGCATCATCTCAGGGCTCCCCCTCCTTTGAACCCCTCTAGTCATGAAGGCATCCTGTTTGCATAATAGTGCAGAAATCAACACAGAAGACAAAACAAAAGTGCACATGTGCATCCAGCGGATACAGGTGATGTCCAGATGCTGCGCCACTATTTCTCAAGAGAGGGTCATGGCAGCTTGTGTGTGTGTGCAATGTGATAGTTTGTTTTCCAGACAATGATCTGCCTGACTGAAGATTGAGCATGGATTTAAGTGAATGCAGCCATCCTGGTGGCACATTGAGTTTTAGCCCGAGTGTATAAATGTGGAGTAAGGGCAATTAAAGTCAGAGTGATTAGACCTGATGCAAGGTCTTCTGCTTATTTCCATGGCTGTTGACTTTTTACCAATGCATTATACTTTTTATTCTGGTTTCATGTTAAACTACCGGTTAGGCCACCTTCCCTTCCATCCATCCCCTTCAGACTAGGCCCCCTGGTCTAATCACAGGTACTTATAGTGGACTTTATTACCCCCTTCCTATAGACTACGGCCCCAGGTCCTATCACAGGTACTTATAGTGGACTTTATTACCCCGTTCCTATAGACTAGGTCCCCAGGTCCTATCACAGGTTCTTATAGTGGACTAGATTACCCCCTATCTATAGACTAGGCCCCCTGGTCTAATCACAGGTACTTATAGTGGACTAGATTACCCCCTATCTATAGACTAGGCCCCCTGGTCTAATCACAGGTACTTATAGTGGACTAGATTACCCCCTTCCTATAGACTAAGTGCCAAGGTCCTATCACAGGTACTTATAGTGGACTTTATTACCCCATTCCTATAGACTATAGGTCCCCAGGTCCTATCACAGGTACTTATAGTGGACTAGATTACCCCCTATCTATAGACTAGGCCCCCTGGTCTAATCACAGGTACTTATAGTGGACTAGATTACCCCCTTCCTATAGACTAGGTCCCCTGGTCCTATCACAGGTACTTATAGTGGACTAGATTACCCCCTTCCTATAGACTAGGTCCCCAGGTCCTATCACAGGTACTTATAGTGGACTAGATTACCCCCTTCGTATAGACTAGGTCCACAGGTGCTATCACAGGTACTTATAGTGGACTAGATTACCCCCTTCCTTTAGACTAGGTCCCCTGGTCCTATCACAGGTACTTATAGTGGACTATATTTCCCCCTACGTATAGGCTAGGTCCACAGGTGCTATCACAGGTATTTATAGTGGACTAGATTACCCCCTATCTATAGACTATGTCCCCAGGTCCTATCACAGGTACTTATAGGGGACTAGATTACCCCCTTCCTATAGACTAGGGCCCCTGGTCCTATCACAGGTGCTTATAGACTAGGCCTAGGTCCCCAGGTTCTATCACAGGTACTTATGGTGGACTAGATTACCCCCTATCTATAGACTAGGCCCCCTGGTCTAATCACAGGTACTTATAGTGGACTAGATTTCCCCCTATCTATAGACTAGGTCCCCTGGTCCTATCACAGGTGCTTATAGACTAGGCCTAGGTCCCCAGGTTCTATCACAGGTACTTATAGTGGACTAGATTACCCCCTATCTATAGACTAGGTCCCCAGGTCCTATCACAGGTACTTATAGTGGACTAGATTACCCCCTATCTTTAGACTAGGTCCCCAGGTTCTATCACAGGTACTTATAGTGGACTTTATTACCCCCTATCTATAGACTATATATATATAGGTCCCCAGGTCCTATCACAGGTATTTATAGTGGACTAGATTACCCCCTATCTATAGACTATAGACCTAGGTCCCCTGGTCCTATCACAGGTACTTATAGTGAACTTATATATAAAGAGACTTGTATTTAATTGTTGAAATATCATTAGCAATGAATTAAAACATAAATAAAAATCTTATTTCAATATATTTGCACTTGTATTGTTTTAAGACGATAGTTTGTGGTACCTTTTTATAAATATAAATGATATTGAAGTTCTACAAAGAACACTTCAGTTTTAGATGCAGAGTAATCTTACCAAATAAATACCCACTTAATCTTTTTTGCATTCATTTTATTGTGTAGTTGTCATGGAAACATTGCCACGAACTGTTACATAGCTGAAATAGAATACGGACTATAAATGTCTATAACCTCGGCCGGGGTGCATGTAAAGTAGGTTATTACCTAAACAGTAGTTCCAAAGCATGATTCATCCCACCTTCCTCTCGTTTTTCTCATCAGTAAAAAAAAAGCGGAAGGAAAGGGATGCATATATAAATAGATGTACATTTATCACATATATATTTTTACCTAATTCTGAAGTCTGTCGGCTCAAAATCATGAAATGATGTAATGGGAAATCATGGGCTAGTTGCTGCACTGTATACTAGGATCATTTATAGCATTAATAATCCATTACATACTTGTCAGTCATTATAACTTATAATATGAGGAATGTACACGCTATATCTAATGCACTGACCATCAAACAAAGAAACCCCAACGTGACGTCAGGGATGAAAACTTGCACCTTGTACAATAATTCAACAGAAATGAACTGTTTGTATACCAGATGTAGCAAATTCCAGAGATAGCACAGGCTCCTAATCCAAGTACAATTTACTCATCTGATAAACACATGATGTTATTTACATTCCAGATAAACAACAGATATTGACAGGTTTAGCCCTCTAATTTACCAGTGATACACCAGGATCTAGTGTGAAGAACAAATACACTCCATTTTATCTGTTATACCCGTACAAATTCTTTTTTCACAGGTTGTATTCTGATTTGGTAACCAACAAGTGATGTAACAGAACACTGACAAATTAATTTCAAAATTCAAATTGTGAATATCAATTTTTCAAATAGATGAAATAATTGGTGCAACTCAGCATGACTGAAGATCAAACAATCATAAATTTAAAAGAAACACACATTTAAAGTTATTATTTTTTTGCAATTTTTAGGATAACAAATTTCTTATTCACAAGTGTCGAGTGCCAGAATCCACAGAACCTGCGCTGTGTTAACATTTCACCTGAATATTCCAACATCCTGTCTTATCCAACATTATGCTGCAGAAATATTTCTGAAGAATATTTATCAAATAAAACCTGAATATACTGACACCCTGTCCAATCTAACATATAAAATATCCTATCACAGTTAAATAAACAATAATCCTAATATGACCTCAAAAGTTGAGGTTACTTCAAGAAGAACAAACACATGCAGTATTTCCTCATACTGTGTTATCTTTTTAGTATTCGTTCACCTAATATGATTAACATAACTCATGTTCTCTGGTAACAAGACAACTTATTACCTGATCTTATTTGATACTACTTCTTGTACTGTGGGGCTGCTGAGATTGGTTGAATAATGTTAGGAAAGATAGGTGCCATGATATTTGCTCTATCCATATCATTATGTGAAAACATCAGTTTATAATACACTAGTATGAGCATACAGATCTATACACTCACACAGTAGTAGTTCGACTAACAATAGGGTGAAAAGTTCAGTCTGTCTCTATCTAGGAAACTATTGTAATCTATTGTATATTTACTCAGCCTCTGAGAGCTGTTATAATTTCCTCTTCCTTCTAATAGATTAGAGACAGCTGATCAATGATGGATGAGCTACCACTGTAAATAAATGTTTCCTGGATGTACTGACTGGTGTCTGTTTTACTATAATGACCAGTGTCTGTACCCACTGGGTTATGTAACACTGACCAGTGTCCATAGGAAATGTCTATGTTACACTGACCAGTGTCCCTAGGGAGTGTGTGTAACACTGACCAGTGTCCCTAGGAAATGTCTATGTTACACTGACCAGTGTTCCTGCATGGGAAGTGTTTATGTTACACTGACACGTGTCTGTACCCACTGGGTTATGTAACACTGACCAGTGTCCATACGAAATGTCTATGTTACACTGACCAGTGTCCCTAGGGAGGGTGTGTAACACTGACCAGTGTCCCTAGGAAATGTCCATGTAACACTGACCAGTGTCCATAGGAAATGTCTATGTTACACTGACTAGTGTCCCTAGGGAGTGTCTGTAACACTGACCAGTGTTCCTAGGGAGTGTCTGTAACACGTTGACCATTGCCCCTAGGGAGTGTGTGTAACACTGACCAGTGTCACTAGGAAATGTCTATGTTACACTGACCAGTGTGGAAGGGTTTATGTTATACTGACCGGTGTCCCATGGGAGTGTGTGTAACACTGACCAGTGTCCCTAGGAAATGTCTATGTAACACTGACCAGTGTCCATAGGAAATGTCTATGTTACACTGACCAGTGTCCCTAGGGAATGTCTGTAACACTGACCAGTGTTCCTAGGGAGTGTCTGTAACACGTTGACCATTGTCCCTAGGGAGTGTGTGTAACACTGACCAGTGTCCCTATGAAGTGTTTATCTTACATTAGTGTCTGTTTTTAATATACTGACAGGGTCCCTGGTGTCTGCAACACTGACCGGTGTCCCTAGGAAATGTCTATGTTACACTGACGAGTGTGGAAGTGTTTATGTTATACTGACCGGTGTCCCATGGGCGTGTGTGTAACACTGACCAGTGTCACTAGGAAATGTCTATGTTACACTGACCAGTGTCCCTGCATGGGAAGTGTTTATGTTACACCGACAAGTGTCTGTACCCACTGGGTTATGTAACACTGACCAGTGTCCATACGAAATGTCTATGTTACACTGACCAGTGTCCCTGCATGGGAAGTGTTTATGTTACACTGACCGGTGTCCCTAGGGAGTGTGTTTAAACACTGACCAGTGTCCCTAAAGTGGGTCTGTAAAACTGACCAGTGTCCCTAGGGAGGGTGTGTAACACTGACCAGTGTCCCTAGGAAATGTCCATGTAACACTGACCAGTGTCCATAGGAAATGTCTATGTTACACTGACCAGTGTGGAAGGGTTTATGTTATACTGACCGGTGTCCCATGGGAGTGTGTGTAACACTGACCAGTGTTCCTAGGAAAAATCTATGTTACACTGACCAGTGTGGAAGTGTTTATGTTATACTGACCGGTGCCCCATGGGAGTGTGTGTAACACTGACCAGTGTCCCTAGGAAAAATCTATGTTACACTGACCAGTGTGGAAGTGTTTATGTTAAACTGACCGCTGTCCCTATGGAGTGTGTGTAACACTGACCAGTGTCCCTAGGAAATGTCTATGTTACACTGACCAGTGTCCCTGGGAAATGTCTATGTCACACTGACCAGTGTCCCTGGGAAGTGTTTATGTTACACTGACCGGTGTCCCTAGGGAGTGTGTGTAACACTGACCAGTGTCCCTAGAGAGTGTCTGTAACACTGACCTATGTCCCTTGAGAGTGTCTATGTTATACTGACCAGTGTCCAGTGAAATGTCTGTTTAAAACTGACTAATATCCGAAAGGAGTGTCTTAAAATACTGGCCAGATTCAAAAGAAATTGTATAAAATATGCTGACAAAGAATCCCTAAGGAATTCCCATGTAATACTGGACAATGCTCATGGGCATTCTTAATTGTCCAGTATTCATAGGGAGAAACTGCATTGACCAGCATCCTATAGTAATATCCATGTAATTCAGACCAGTGTCCCCATCTAACTGTAAGATCAACAAGAGCTGGCGGAGAACAGCATTGCTCGCCTATGTAGGTTATTATAATACTGCAACTATCAATATAGAAACACATGTATAGTAAAACGTTTATATAGTGCCTGTCATTTTATTTGCCACCTCACTTACCACCAGGATATTTCAAGGACTGTTAAGAAATTAACAAAGTCCAATAAAATATGGTTCAACACATTGCTTACACTCAATACAAATACTTCAACCTTATAATAGACAACAGCCTATTGATGGTGGTGGTCCAACAATACCCAACAAAACTTGCGCAAAAACTTGAACATCAAATTTAACTAAGTCCAATTAAGGTGTTTTGTGGTCATAAAATATGAAAATATTGCCCAGAACATTGCTAACACTCCATATAAATGCTTCAACCTTATAATGGACAACAGCCTATTGATGGTGGTTGTCCAACACTTCACAAAAAACCTTTCCCAAAAACTTGAACCTCAAATTTAACTAAGTCCAATTAAGGTGTTTTGGGGTCATAAAATATGAAAATATTGCCCAGAACATTGCTAACACTCCATATCAATGCTTCAACCTTATAATGGACAACAGCCTAGCTATTGATGGTGGTTGTCCAACATTTCACAAAAAGACTTTCCAAAAAACTTTAACCTCAAATTTAACTATAAGCCCAATTAAGCTGTTTTTGGGCCATAAAATATGAAAATATGGTCCAGCACATTGCTTACACTCGATATAAATGATTTAAACTCACAATAGACACCTGTGTATTGAGTGTGATGATCCAACACTGTCTGGAAAAAAAACACCATCCTAAATATGGGATCAAACACACCATCCTAACTGTAGGATCAAAACACCATCCTAAATATGGGATCAAACGCACCTTCCTAAATATGGGATCAAACACACCATCCTTAATATGAGATCAAACACACCATCCTAAATATGAGATCAAACACAACATCCTAACTGTAAGGATCAAAACACCATCCTAACTGTTGGATCAAAACACCATCCTAAATATGGAATCAAACACACCATCCTAAATATGGAATCAAACACACCATCCTAAATATGATATCAAACACACCATCCTAAATATGGGATCAAACACACCATCCTAAATATGAGATCAAACACAACATCCTAAATATGAGATCAAACACAACATCCTAACTGTAAGGATCAAAACACCATCCTAACTGTTGGATCAAAACACCATCCTAAATATGGGATCAAACACACCATCCTAAATATGAGATCAAACACAACATCCTAAATATGAGATCAAACACAACATCCTAACTGTAAGGATCAAAACACCATCCTAACTGTTGGATCAAAACACCATCCTAAATATGGGATCAAACACACCATCCTAAATATGAGATCAAACACAACATCCTAAATATGAGATCAAACACAACATCCTAACTGTAAGGATCAAAACACCATCCTAACTGTTGGATCAAAACACCATCCTAAATATGGGATCAAACACACCATCCTAAATATGGAATCAAACACACCATCCTAAATATGGGATCAAACACAACATCCTAACTGTAAGGATCAATACATCATCCTAAATGTGTGAACCAAAATTCCACCCTGGCTATATGATCAAACACACCATCCTCAATGTTACGATCGAACACACCATCTTGACTGTAGGATCAAACACACCATCCTAAATATAAGATTAAACACATCATCCGTACTGCATGATCAAATACACCATCCTACGGTATGATTAAGCATTCTATATTGATATAGTACATGTATGCAAGTTGTACAGAGTATAAGGGATGAGATGCCTGGGTATTCGGTGCAGTGATTTGTGGTAACAGGTTATTCACTATGATAATGTAAGCAATTCATTAAAATGGTCCCCCACGATCATGTTTGGGATGGGATCCACGGGACGGCTGTATAATGGACTTCACCCTGTGTGGTTTTCCTATCGCAATTAATCATGCTGTGTAGCAGAAAAATGCAATAAAACGTATATAAAATACAATCTTAATTAAAACATGTTCTGTCTGTGTTTGACGATTTCAGACCTATTTTTTGTAGTATACATTCTGTAATAACTGCTCTGAAAGTTGATAAAGTTCAAACTCGATTGCATTGATGAATTTGACTTTTCTGTAAGGATACAAAAACAACATATTCTCCATAACAAGTTTTTTTCAATAAAGGAGAATTTATTACCGTCGATAAGCAGTCAGTTCCTGTTAGCCACAGTATCATTTCCGTCTTTGTACGAGGGGAAACACGCACACAGCCGAGCGCATGCTTTGAACGTGTGTTGCAATAGGAAAATATCAATAATACTACAATTTTTAGCATGAAAAATATCGAGAATAAAAGTATAACTCACCGGTAGATACGTATAGCAACGCCGATCTGAAATAAAGTAGAGAAATCCTCGTCGCGTGCTGTCTTCAACTACTTGTCTGCAAAATCCTTAGAGGGAGAAAATAAAACTTGTAGAAACACGGAACATGGAATATAGCTAGCCGATTACAACCCGTACTCGACTATCGACGGCGTTCACTCTGTGACACACATCGGTAGGTCACGTGGTCGGGTCTCGTCTGCTTGGGTTTTTCAGGCAGGTTTTCAGTGGTGTAAAATGTCTCGAATTTCTACTATTTGATATCAATATCGTGCTGAATAACATTACGCGCGCAGCTCATCCATCCCTACAAACGAATGCTTTGTCGGACCAGTGTCATGGAGGTTTTCTAGGCAGACGATGTAAATTCTACCAAAAAGAGAAAGAAATGTAGGCGATGCTGTCAGGGAATACCAATACCATATGTTTCGGTAGGGTAAAATTATTCTGATGAATTCATCTGGAACACGTTCAAATTTCCTTGCTAGGTTTAGTGGACAAGGGCTGATGGCCGTAACTAAATTGAGACTCAATGACGTAGTTGGTTTGTGATAGGAATGGTTGGGTCCTCTGTATTTAACACTGTGAGGCATTTTGGCTTAGAATCGATACATTTAGACCTTCAGCTGACTATAACCTCAACCCGGGAACACTTTGAAGCCTACAATTTCCTGGAACTCTGACCTGGAATGAGAGGTTGAAAATCTGGTGGTTGGGGACTTTTCAAATTATTCACTCCTACAAATATAGCTAATAAATGCCTCTGGTATAAGTGTCTCTGGTATAAATGTCTCTGATATAAGTGTCTCTGGTATAAGTGTCTTTTGTATAAGTGTCTCTGGTATAAATGTCTCTGGTATAAGTACCTTTTGTATAAATGTCTCTGGTATAAATGTCTCTGGTATAAGAGCCTTTTGTATAAATGTCTCTGGTATAAATGTTTGTGGTATAAGTGTCTCTGGTATAAGTGTCTCTGGTATAAGTGTCTTTTGTATAAGTGTCTCTGGTATAAGTGTCTCTGGTATAAGTGTCTCCGGTATAAATGTCTCTGGTATAAGTGTCTGTGGTATAAGTGTCTCTGGTATAAATGTCTCTGATATAAGTGTCTTTTGTATAAGTGTCTCCGGTATAAATGTCTCTGGTATAAGTGTCTCTGGTATCTGGTATAAATGTCTCTTGTATAAATGTCTCTGGTATAAGTGTCTCTGGTATAAATGTCTCTGGTATAAGTGTCTCTGGTATAAGTGTCTCTGGTATCTGGTATAAGTGTCTCTGGTATAAATGTCTCTGGTATCTGGTATAAGTGTCTCTGGTAATATTTTTAATATTCATTTTGAACATTGAGAACATTATATAAACATCGGGTTTTAAATCATGGTGGTAATGTACCTAATATAAACTGTTTTATTTATATGAGGCATGTGGTAAAGGTACTTAATTCTCTATTGCAATACGATTTTAAAAATATCTATCACTGAAATAATTTTGAATTTATTTTTTGAATTGCTATATCATAACTTAAAACAGGAATAACATAAACGTGACTAAGACAGTATGTTTATCTGATCTGTTGAAATGAAAGTCTACATTTGTAATTCCCCAGGAGATTTAAAGGGATATTTACGTTATCAACGGTTGACTTGTTAGTAAACTGTTATGTATTCAAGCCTGACCTTTGGGGATTATGAAAATTATGCTCAAATAGCTTTCTTCCGCGGATGGACGTAGTGGTAGCATGACTGACATGATCGTATATAGTAAATAATAAGGAACCTAATGTATTTACATAATTGTTAGATCGTACTTGTCTCCCTTGTGGCTTTTGGATAGTTTTCAGATGTATAATAATACCAGTCTTTATTCTTAAGGGAAAATATGATGATTTTAACAATGAAGATAATTATGACGCCAAAATGACAATTTTAAATAAAGTAATCTTATATACCGCTTTATCACAACCTAGTTGGTAGGTCGTCTCAAAGCGGTTCAAAAATTATTTTCCGTGGTTATAGGGCCTTTGCAACCAGCCAATATATTTTCCAACTCACTGGGGAGCATACATCCGGTGCTGCCATTTCGGCGCTCACGGCTAGCATTCAACAATTCTAGCACTGCCCAACTACGTACTCACTTACAGCTGAGTAGACTGGAACAAGCGGAGTATAGTATATTGCTCAAAGATACAACACAGTGCCGGGACGTGCCTCGAACCCGCAGCCCTTTGGGGAAAAAAGTCACTAAAGACGGGTGCCGATGAAGAATGTGGTGTGTTGCTCTACATTGTTACAATGCTACGTTTGAAGACACTATGAAAACTGTAGAGGAACCATGATGTGCCCCACCCCTGCAGGTCGGGGATCGAGAAAATAATACACCTGCTGTTACCCACTGCATGTATCGTAAGGGGCGACTAATGTAGGGAACCTCTGCATAATTGGAGATTTGCTTTTGTGCCCTCTACTTGGGGACACAAAAACGACCAAAATAAATCTGCCGCACCCATTGCAACATTTGGGATCTTTCTCTTTCTTTCCTTCTCCAACTACCTATTGTTTCATAGCGCCTTGCTTGGCAATACCTCACGTCTGGCTTTAATGTTGAGGGTTCGCCCAAGCGAGGAAGGCAATGGGTTCTATCCCCAGGCCGGGACATACCAAATTCTTAAAAAATGGTAGCTGTTATTCCCTGCTTAACTTTCAGCTTTAATGGTAATGGCAAGAACTGGTTCACCCGTTGTCAGTATAATGTGACCGGGCGGGATGCTGGGATAGACGGCATGGTATTTCAATGAGATAGCACTATAAAATCGGCATCAGATCCGCGCTACCACAAGGAGGCAAATACACCAACACACACACCCTGTTTCCTACATACACACACGCATGCATGCATAAACAACACACATGGAGGGACGTCCTTAAATGACATTAGCTGTTAATAGGACGTTAAACAAAACAAAACTCTACTTCAGCTACCTTTTATTTCCTAGAGCCTTGCTTGGCAATACCTGTCTTTCGGCTCTAATGTTGAGCGTTCGCCAAGGGGAGAAAGGCAATGGGCTCTGTTCCCTGGCCGGGACATACCAAAGTTCTTAAAAGTGGTAGCTGTTATTCCCTGCTTAAAGTTTAGCATTTAGGGCAATGGCAACAATTGGTTCATTCGTTGTCAGTATAATGTGACCGGGCGGAATGCGCTTGGCGCTTTCGGCATGGTATTTCAGTGAGATAGCACTATAAAGTCGGCATCAGATCCGCACTATCACAAGGAGGCAATTACACCAGCATACCTTGTCTCAAGCACACGTACACGCATACACGCATACATAACACACATGGAGACACGTCCTTAAATGACCTTAGCTGTTAATAGGAAGTTAAACAAATACAACCAAACCAAACTATGATCTGATGTGCCCGCCATGTTTGAAATACATTGCATTTATTTCCTCTCTCTATATACAATTTTACAAGGTGTTCCAATTAAAATTGTTCCTGGTGACCTTCGAAAACTAGCTTGAAGAATTCTTAAAATAATAGAGTGTAAGACAATATCTGACTCATTGAGCCTGTTCGTATGGATAGTCACAAAGCTCCGGTAATTCAACATTTTATAAACGTCAAATTTACCAACAAGTGTTTAATGCCAAACACAAGTTATATCACACACCATAAGTCCGTCAAAACTAACTCACCTCCATACCAATCATTTCCAAAATTTCTCCTTAAATAAACACCTGGCAGAAGAGCAACCAACACTTATAAATGCAAACGATACATGGCACGAGGGAAATAAAAAGTGACAACTGGTCCAAAGAAACTGCATGGTATTACATGGCACACACAGCTCAGTGACAAGGCTGCAGTAGTCAGAACACATTGCTATCATGCCATGAAAAACTGTGGAGGTTCAGCTGAACATTTACGCAGAAACTTGGACAACATAGTTCTGCACTACCAAAACATTCATGGCAACTGTGCTCCAGCATCCAGGTGCAAAACTGATGAACAATATGAAGCAACAAAGGAAAAGCTAACGGACTCGAGTGCTATAGCTATTTTACAGAAAACAACACAAAAACTACAGATTTACAAAACTCTACAGGATTTTGTGAAATGTATTGACACTCATCACGTGGAATCTTTCAACAATGCGGTATTGGTCTATCATGATAAAAGAAAAAAAAATCCGACAAGATAACAAAAGAAGGACCAATCTGGCAATCCTTGATTGGAATGAAAATGTGGACAGAGACGTTTCCTCAGTGACAATGCTAGAGGATGCAAGAAATCCAAGGAGAAGAACTTTAAAAAAAAAAAAATCTCAAACCAAAGACTTTTTCCTTTATTGAATCGATGTGGGAAATGGTGATTAATGCATTCTATAGAAATTAAAAGTTATAAGTATATATTTTTGTTGTTGTCTATTTGGTTTTCTATTTATCATGATCTAGTCTATTTCATTATCTCACCCCCAGACAAATATACTAGTACTATTAGTATAGTGTAATACAGTATTATAAAATAAATTCACATGGCAGTCACTGGTTGTGAAATGTATGATTATGTTCTGGGCATTCCCAATGGCTAGCTGACCATAGGTCTCTGGAGTATCTTCACAGGCATGGCTGTGTTTAAAAACATTGCAGCTGGTCAGCTGATGTTATCAGTAGCAGTTAGCTCCGCCCTTAATTAGTCAAGGGCTGGGCTTTCAGGGGCAAACATTTCAACAGACTGTTGGCATACCCATGGCAACAAACTGCCCAACTCTTTGTCAACCTTACGAGGCTAAATATAATGAAGAGTTTAACATGACAGCTAACAAAACTCCTTGTCTAGTCCTTCAATTTTACATTCAGATAATAAGAAATGTATCGACCAAGTGAATCTTAAATTCCCTCCAAAACATTAGCTACACCAGCTGGTTTCCTCGATCTTAAATAACAACATGGTCGACAGGGATTGCATGGTACTAAACGGCATGAGTAGCATGATGATTAAGATTTTCTAATGGTGAACTTTCCTTTTATTGATAGGCGCGTCTCTTCACCAATTTATGGTAGTTGATTGGATATTCAAGGGCTTGTTCCAAATACCAGATTTCCGTGATAGCTCTCAATTGCTGACAGACCAATAATAAAACAATGGGTTTTGAGAGATACAGCTTGATGAAGAATATTTGCGAGATTTATGGTCATCATCATGATCTTGAGGAGGCACGGTAGTCTTGTGGTAGGACGCCGGGCTCGTGATCGAAGGGTTGCGGGTTCGAGTCACGGCACGGCACTGTG